AAAAAAAAAAAAAAAAAAAAAAAAACTGGTTGATTCAAAATAGTGAACAAATTTTATTTTGCCAATGATACTTTGAAATTAAAGGGGGAGGATATTTTATTATAAGCCAAATAGGAGGCACACATCAATATATAAATAAATTATAAATTAAATGCATTCACATTTATTAAAAATAATGCACTATGCTATACCTAGTTTTCTTGTGTTACACTGAACCAGTAAAAAGCCAAGTCAGACAACAGGGAAAAGGCCTGGTCCCTTGCTTTATCAAAGATTTAACTTCAGGTACAGTACAAATTTTACTCAGAGAAATTCACAGTGGCTAAAAGAAATCTGTATGCAATACTAATGCCTCATACTTTATTTTACCACCAATATTTTCTAAAATACTGCATCTACATTTATAGCCACAAAAATTAGTCTTTACTCTCCTTCTCCCCCAGAAAAAAGTAGAGGAAACTGTATAATTTAATATTCTCTATTACTGCCGCATGAATGATGAAATAAATAACACGGTAGTTAGCATCTTCATTTCACAATTAATATTTTAGTAATTTAGTCTTTACTTACTATAATTAGTTTTGGTAACTGCAACAGCACAACACAAATTTCAGTGGGCATAATTACTTTCATAAGATTACCTAATGGGTAATTCTGACCCTGAAAAGCTGCCTTTCCAGGGCCGTAAGAGGCATGGTCAGAAGCCCTTGCAAGCACTGTGGGTTCTAGAGGTTTGAGTCTGCACCGAGTTGTCATCACCACAGTCAGCATCTTTTACCAAAATATTTCACTCACACTTCTGATCAGGAATCTTCTAGCACTCGATGCAATTTTCTCCTACGGGGACTTCTTCCCGGCAGAATTTATGATGGGTTATCATACAGCTTTCATACTGACAACTCTATCTTCAAAATGTCTAAATACTTCTGATGTATTTATTGCCCCCTTATTGTCCCCTTTCTCTTTCCCTGTAGGTGGTAAATTTTAAAACTTAACTACACTCTCATCGTAGGGATGCTGCCCAATTCTCGTCCAGTTCCAACTTTACACAGCCTGGGCGCAGGCACCTAGCAGTGTTAAGCACTTACTCCACCCCATTTTCAGATCTGTAATGCTTAAAATCAGCTCTGAACTGAAGCCATTCATTTCTTGCCTCCTGAAGTGAAATCTTCAGTTTTTCTCTGACATTCCCGAAGAATCCTCTTCTTCCTCTTCCCATTCTCCCAGCTACCGAGAGGCCAGCGTTTCCATCTTGCCAGTCTGCTAGTACTCACTTAAACAGGTTACCCTTGCCTTGAAGAAATATCTCTTATTAAGAAAGTCTGCTCACTATAAATCATTTTAATATGCCAAAATATCAGAATCCCCCTCTAGTTTGTCAATTCCTAGTCTCCTTGTGTTATGGTTGTATCTGTCCCCCAAAACCTCATGAAGTCACTGAGGCACAGTTCTACAGTTTGTGATGAATTCATGATCCAAAGCTCGGATTATGGGTTCGGTACTGGTGGGATTATGGGTGTGGATGCTGCATCCCGTCTGAGCAGATAGCCTGGATGTAACACAAGGGAGACAGACAGACATGCTCTCTGCTGCCGCTGCTCCTCCCTTCTGCTCTTGCTGCTTTCCGCTACCATGAGCTGCTGCCCACCGCCATGTGCCGCTCTGCCTTTGAGCCAGTGGAGTACGAGCTGAAACCTCCAGTAACTGTGAGCTAAATACACCTTTGCTTCCTTCAGTTTGAGTGTCGGTGACCATGAATTAATCAGCAATGAGAGAAGAGTGACTGAGACACCCTGGTTACTTCTTTCAGAGGATTAGTCTATTTAGAGATAAATGATCATAAAGCACTTTTATTATTGACATTCATTAACTGTAAATCTATTAATCGGAGTATTTTAGAAGTAAGGCCTTCCATTTTTTTTTTTTTTAACTTTTAAAAATATTTTCCTGGTGTTAGCAATCAGGCCCAAGGCTTTCTCACTCACTGCTGGGCTACCTCACAAGTCCTTTAGTATTCTTGATTCACCTGCAGACTTAATCTTCAACTAGGGCAACAGCGAGCATCCTCTTGCTCTTAAAGCCAAAATGCTATGCACACAAGAGCACTGATAAGTTGCACTTCGCCCTTTTCTAAATAATATTTTCAAATATTCTAAGTCCAAGGCAAGGAGGGTTATTATGAATTTAAAGTTCTGCAACAACTTATAATATACTGACTTAAAGTTACTGACACTGCACGTGTGGCATGACCTATCCCGTAATTGCTATTTATCCTACTAGTGTGGTTAAAAAGTCAGCCTCTCTCTACAGCTAAATACTTGCCTCGTTCCATCATTAAGTTGTTTTTCATCAACCACATCCTTGGAAACTTAAAAAATACCACTGCAGGGGTCTTCTGACCTGCGCCACCAAGTTTCCCCATTTATCTTTTTATCAGTAAAGCACAAGTGACACACTCAAAGTCAGACAAAACAAGAGAGCAGGAACAGTGCAGACAGCTGCGTCCCACCGGTTTGGCGTGGTGCTGAGCGTGGACACCTGCACACAGCTCTGCACTCCTGGGCTCCCTAGCCTCATGCTCAACATTGCCACGGCTGACGGCTGCCACGACTTCAAGGTGCTCACAGCCAAGCCAGAGACCCAGCTGCGGATGCAGAGCGTCCAGACTCCCTCAGGGTCTCCAAGTACGTCTTCTGGAAAGTTGGACTCACTGGCCAAGAAGTAACAAGGCTGGAGAATTATGTAAATGAGATGTGAAGAAGTCCTGACTAAGCCTTTACTACACAGGATTTCACTGGCTTCTGCTCCCTTACGGTCTAAAGCTGAACAATAAGATTTACCTAATGCCAGATTATCAACTGCCCGGTAAGCTACTGCATTTGTTGGGCTAAGTTTTGCACCGAACAGCTGAACAGCTAGATAACGGTGCCTCCTCCCTCTCCACTAAAGAACAGCACAGGCTCCACGCTAGCCCAAGCAGGCTAGGAATGTGGATCCGGAGGGCAGACTACCTGACGGTCTCCTTAAGTGGGCCTGAAATGCCAGCTATTTGCCAGGCCTGAAATGCCAGCTATTTGCCAGGCAGACACGAAAGATAAGAAGCGGGGAGGGCACACTTGGTCAAAACGAGCCCATCACAGAGCTGCTGCCAGTGGCATGGCAGCAGAGACACACACAGGAGCTCGCAAACGCGGACGCAGAAAGAACCAAGGTGCGCTGGTTCTGACTTGGAGCAGACTGAGTTAACTTCAGAAAAGAACTTGACAGTTTTTTACACGGCAGACAAAAAAGTTTTAAAAAGTTACCGCTGACGATCTGACTTGTATGTGGCCGTGAGCTCGTCAAACATGGCGCTGTTCATCTCCATAAAGGCCTTCAACACGTTGTACACTAATGCCACAATAGCCCTGCGAAGGAAGAAGGGAACACGTCAGTGAGCTGGACACAACGGGCTGCTGGAGGAGGACGCGAAGGCCGGCTCGGGCCACACCGGCGCCTTGCACAGCACTGCTGTCCCTTTCAGCTGGACAACAGGAAACTACCTATAGCTGGCTCATTTCCACCACAAGAAATTTAAATGCTTGGCTACAAGGGAGGCGGAAAGAGCAAATTAACTTTGCCTTTCTGATTACTGGTCCCTAAGACAGAATTAGCCATGGCTACCTGACAACCTCATATAACAAAAAGTATAAAAATAGAGCACACTCATCCTAAATATAAGCACCTGTGTAGGACTAACCTTAGAGCGACCTGGATTTGCATAAAATCTTACTTTTAAAGTAATAATATACATAATTCATCAGAATGTGAAGCAGTTCCTATGGAGACAAACGGTGTGCATGTAAAGTACGTGGAGAAGGATTTACATATAGTTACTCATACTCAAAAGATGTGACGCCAAGCTCCTGTTCAACAGGAGCTGCTTTCCCAGCCTCGCAACAGCCCATCCGTTCCCACGAGGCCCGGCTGCCCCAACCCTGAGCAGGTCACTGCACGCTGTGACACCACTATCAGCTGTGTGACACTACGCAGCCCAGCAGCCACAGCGGCAGCCACTTCTGAGAGGGCACGTCACTGTACACCCAACAGCCTCCCACCAGAGTCTAAATTCCTTTGCAAAGTCACTCTGTGCTGCCTCCGACTCTCCAACAGATGCACTCCACACTACCGGGCCATTACCGGGCGAGCACCGGTGGGCAGTACTTGGCGCCCGTCACAGAGTCCGAGCTCCCCAGTCACTTACAGGAGGGCGCGCCTGCTCAGCAGCTCCTGCGGAAGGCAGGGAGGCCCACTGCTGCTGCATTCCACAATGCCACCCACCCCAACGGCAACAGGAATGCTTGAGCAGGGACACCGCACACCTGAGAACATCACTGTGTTCCTCAGGGGGGCACCTAACCACTACTTACCGCACCTTGATTTTTTCCAAGTTCCATTAATAAAATAGAGTACATTGGAAAAACGCAAAATGTGGTAATTTCACAACTCCGTGTAAACATTTTAGAGACAAATATGAGTTAGTGAATTACATCTACTAATTCTTAAATTCCACATTAAATTTATTTACGAGGCCATCAACGTGTAAGGACAACTACAGGATGGATGGACACATACACACACGGGACTGGACTAAACTTCTCTCTCAAGATTTCAAAATTACTTTCCCCTGTAGCATGTGCCTGTGACTATGACTGAGCTGAGCAGGTCACTAGGAAATGGATCTTCCCGTGAAAGGCAAATCTGTGAGGATCACTCTCTGCCTCTCGACCCTTCAGTGTCTCCCACCTCCAGCTGGCGAAGGGCGCAGGGACTCGCTCGGGTCCTAATGGCACCTCCAGGGCCTTGGCGCACCTTCTGGCCTCATAATCGCAGGCATGTTTTATACTGTTTTGTTAAAACATTGGTTTACTTTTTTTTTTGGTGGTACTGGGGACTGAACTCAGACCCTGCGCTTACCAGGCAGGTGCTTATTCTAGTGGGCTGTCTCCCTTTCCCCAAAACATTGGTTTACTTTTGAGTCTGTCCGACCAGTACAAATTTCTAAAAGGTGAGGATTTTATCTTTTCAAATACCTATCTTTATCAATAAGTAAAGCAACCAGCATACAGTGAGCACCCACATTTTACTGAGGAGAAAGGGGCACAAAAGCGAAGGAGATAAGGGAAGGAGAAAAGGGGAAAGAGGGGAGAGAGGGAAGGAGGGAAGGAAGAGAGAAGAGGAGGGAGGAGAAGGGAGGAAGGTGGGGGAGGGGAGGGGAGGGGAAGTAGACAAAAGGAAACCAAACCAAACACCTACGGGTTCCAGTGCTCTTTTGAGATCCTATAGAGGCTGGAAAACATAATGGGGAGGATGACATTGGAGTTTTCTTCTATCAAACTCATGATGTATTCATTATTCCAATAATAGAGTGCTCTTTCTGCCACCTTTGGGAAAAGAAAAAGACAGGGGTAAGACAAATGGTAATCTTTCCAAACACATGTATTTTAAAAGACTATTTTTAAATTGTCAAACCAAAAGTAAAATTAAATATTAATCACTTCTTACATTTTTGTGGACTTAAGATTCCTCAGAATGTTCTGAAGTGGTTCATCAGTTTGGGGAAGAGGTTTTCTTTCTGTTAGTTTATATTCTCCTTTAATTCTCCCGCATCCACCACACTGCCCTACAGGGCTCCCTAGCCCCACGCGGCCCTACTATGGTCCCCTCGGTGTGGCTGTCCTGTCCTCACAAGCTGAGTCTTCCCGACTCCCCTCGTCTCCTACATGCAATCCACTTGGGCCCCGCGGGCTGGAGCTCAGCCACAGATGCTCAAATGCCTGCAGGCCCTGTCCCCGGAAGCCACGCTGCATGTACAACTGTCGTCCTCACCACCACCCAGGAAGCAGCAGCAACCCTTCCCCACAACAAGGACCTGAAAGTTCAGAGAGATCGGGTCACCTATCCACAGACATTGCTGGTCAGGTCAGGGCTGAGAGCCAGGGTCAAATAGGGAGAGGCAAGAGATGGTAGTGAGTGCCTGCCCAGGGCACTGGCTGTCCAGGCCCGGTCTCTGCCCACCTTGCTACCTGCTCATTCCAACGTGGTGTGCTGGGCCTGAGCTGCTCAGCTTGGCTTTTAGGAATGCTAAGGAAGACTTCAAAAGCAGGCCCTAACATCTCTATGATGAGCAGTGATTTTTAAATAGCTTTTGCTTGAACATGTTTGCAGTACGTAATAATTATGTTCCCCGTGTGGAGCTGGTACCTGTCCACCGTCATTCTTTTTATTTTCCTTTCTCCTACTCTGGTGTAGTTATGCTGGACCTGGGTGAGGCAGTGCAGGCCTATAATCTGGCATTCTGGGAGGCTGAGGCAGGAGAGTCACAAGTTCCAGCCAGGCCCAGGCAACTTAGTGAGACTCCATCTCAAAAGTATAAAACTGGCTGGGGCATGCAGCTCACTGCAAAGGCCCTGGATTCAGTTCCCAGTACAAAAGAAAGCGATGTATGGCCACAGGGCAGGCCTGCAGCACATGCTAACCAGCCTCCTCCTAAGCTTCTGTGGAGGAAGCCTCCCCAGAGGTGCTCCGTGAGGAGGGCCCATCCCGAGCACCCTGACAGAGCTGAGTGCAGATGTCTAGCCAGCTGCTGCATCACTGCGGCCCAGACACGCGGCGCAGCGCCTGAGCACTGCAGTGTCGCGCTCTCTCCTCCGCTGGCCTTGCTTTCTTTGCGGCCCAACCACCAAGCTGACACAAGATCATTGTTCTGCCACGCAAACAACATGTCTTTAGACCAAAAGTCAGAACAGTAGCCACTGTGCCTGCTGCTGCGGGTCAGTAACCACGTAGGGTGCCCGTCCAGTGACCCTGCTGCTGCAGGAGGCTTAGACAGAAATATTATAGGCAGTCAGACAGGACCAGGCCCTCAAGGAGACAGTGTGGAAGACAAGGTCACTCTGCAACTCTGGGAGACTCAGGTACCCCCGCTGTGAGCCGGAGCTCAGCACACAAGGACAAATGCAGCCACCCACATACCTCCCTAGGGATGGGCATCAGGGATTGATATCCTAAGCAGGTATCGATCACCTGGAAGCCAGAGAGAGCCACTGGCCTACAGGAAGAGCCTCTGCTCGTATTCAGGCCTGCTTGCTTTGTGACAATTTTACCTGAGCAGCTGTGCTTGTGATCTGATTGGCTGACCATAGTTCTGTCCCACCTCATGTCCACCCACGAGAGTTCCCATGTTCTGCACATTGGGCCAGCCTCACCGCATGGTTTTGCTCTATAAAAAACCTCTGAAAAGGCAGATCTGAGGGCAACCCATTCGGGTCCCCTTTTGTCCGTCTCTCAGACAGGGGCTTTCTTTCCTCCAATAGATATATTCTGCTCTTAACCACTGTTGTTCCTAAAATTCATTCTTCGATTTTAGAGAACATGAAGCCGGTCCATGTATGTTTCTGGTTGGGAGCCTCATTCACCTGTATCACGGCGACAGCTGAGCCTCTGGCCCACTGCGAGCTGCACATGCTCCCAGGAGGGATGGGCAGCCCACAGCCTCTCCTCTAGGCCTGGATATGAGCTTGCAACGCCAGGGAAGGCAGGATGGACATCCCTGAGCCTGGGCTGCACAGCACACAGCAGGGGAGCTGAGTCAGGGGCACCTTCCCTGTGTTCTCCAAGTGGCCACAAGGGGGCAGAGCGAGCCACCAAAAGGTCCTGTACTTCAGATCAAAATATAATCCAAAATCCTGTTAACTGGGACCATGAGCAAGTAATTCTCTAGTTCTGAAAAAGAACTTCACAGGATAACGCGCCGTCTATAAACAACGCATGTAAGGCACCTACCACCGCATTGCATAGAGCAGTAGGGCTGTCTGTTCCTTAAGCGTTACTTACTATTCTTTCTTCTTTTTTTTTAAATGTATTCGGTACAGAGTCTCACTACGCAGCTCAGATTCCTAGTGATCCTCCTGTCTCAGCCTCCCCAGCACTGGGATTACAGGTTTGCACCACCATGCCCAGTCTTGGTGGCCTGCTTAGCATGTGGTACCTGGGATGGAACCCTGGTCCTTCAGCTTAACTAGGCAGGTGTTCAGAACACTGAGCTATCTCCGCGGCCTAACTTTTATTTGAAAGAAAAAAAATTCCAAAACAATGATAGGAGGGTAAATACAGTCAATATATTGTGTACTGATATCTTTAAATTAGTTACTCAGAGTACGAGATATCACATATACCGACAACTGCTACCCTTCCTTACACAGAACCCCAGCAGCCCATCTTACTCTGCAATCTCCCCGAGACAGGTTCTCTTGCCACCTGGAGCTTCAGCGTCCCCATCGGCACACCCAAGATAAATGGGGCGATGGGAACTCAGGTCGTCAGGCAGAAAGCAGGCCACGCACTCGGGGCCGGTGCTCAAAGGAGGCGACCACAGTGAGGATGGCAGTCTCCAGGGGACAGAGCAAAGAAGACCCAAAGGGCAGCCAAACGCACACAAACGGGCGGACAGCATCCACTACACTCTTCAACAAGAAAACAACTTAATCAAAATGCACCTTGCATGGGCTATTCACGCTCGTGGCCTTCTTGCTACTAACCTGAAAGTGCGGGCTGGATACACACTTGGCGATCTGTTTAAACAAAGGTTCTTGAATTTTAACAAACTGGGAAGGTTCAATCACATCCAGAATTTCTTCCAGCTCCCCAAGGAACATGACCTGTAGGTAGACGCAAAACACTGACAGGACAGCTTTGCTTAAGAACACGTGATCACCATTTTCAGAAAGACGCACATGTAAGCCAAACATAAGCGAACCGGTGGCTTCCTGTCAGGTGCTCATGTCACATGGAATCCACTGCAGGGCATTTTGTGAAAAGTTCCTCACGACACTGAGAATATAATTCCACTTCCTTAAAGAAAATCTCCTCCTTGCTACTGATTCCGCACAGAATGGAGGACTGGATCAGCGCCCTGGGAAAGCGGCACTCCTGCAAGGCTTGCCTGCCACCCTCACTCAGTCCCCACCCCCACACATCACTTTTTCTTTAAACACTGGGAGTGGCCCAGTGTTCAAAGGAGTAGTCCTCCTGTGTGATGTTGAAAACTCTGCAGCACCAGCAGCACAAGCTGTAGTTTCTGCTCTGTGCTGGGGGATCCTTCAGGCTCCACCAAATCTTAGAACAGGAAAAGCCTGGCAGATGCCAAGAATTCAATCCATCTACACAAAGGGACCACGCGAGACCTGTTAGTGTGCGTGCATGCGTGCACGCACACACACACACACACACACACACACACACACTTGCACACACTGGCGCGCCTCTTTAGAGCACACAAGGAAGCTCATGGTCTTGGTACTGTGTGCGGAGAGAAGAGAGCTTTGCAGATCACCAAATGGAGCCAGACAGGGCTGATCTAGTCACCTATATTAAACATAACAGAAATGAACAGGGAATTTTTTAAAAGATACTATTTAGCCATGAAAAACTAATTTTGGGAGAAAAATTGAGTATGCAGTTGAAATACAAACACTTCCACTGCTTTCATCTCCTGAGCTGCAACAGAGAGCTAGGCATGGTGAGACTCCACCAACAAGTGGTAAAAATTACAAAGGACCACTTTAGCGCCTTTGAGGAGCAAACTATTTCTGTAGACCACTGCAAACTGCCTGGATACACACGAGTACCCCCCAAATTCTCCCCACATAGAAATCCCTGGGCCAGGGCTGCGTCCCACCAGCCTCAGCCTCCCCAGCACTTGCAGGTGTGTGCTGTGCGCCCTCCCCACACCCCGCGCCCCACACAGCAGCACCTACAAGGGTGCAGATGATCCAGCTCAGGACCTTCCAGAGCCACCAGGAACAGCTGAAGTGAAGGTGTGGGGCGTACTATAATCCCAGCCCTCAGAAGGCTGAGGCAGGAGGATGGCTTCAACTTAGAGACCAAATTGGGTTACA